GTGGTGCATTTAATGCATTGACGTTCAGTGTAATTATTGATAAGTATGAATTGGTTCTGTCTTTTTACTATGTGTTGTTTTGTGATGTTGATTTCTTTGCTCCATATAACTTTGTGTGCTGAGCTTGTTTTGTTTATGAGTCATGTTATCACTTCCTTCATTGCTATTGTTTTAGGATTTGCTAAATACTTGTGCTTGTCTTCTTTTTAATTTTGATGTGAAGGTTTATCATTTTTCTTTGAAGTTATTCTATAATTTTCTTTCCAAGTTTATAACAGTTTAGAACAGTCTGTTCTGTCTTGCAATTGGTGACTTCCTCACCATTTAGAAGTTCTGTAACTACACAATTTTTTTCCTCTTTTTGGTTTGTAGTTGTCCTCATTTGTTAATTGATGTCTCTGGTTCCCTGTTTACAGTCTTGTAGGCTTATTTACTTTGGATACTTCCATAACTGAGTTGGTTTCTGGGTTATGTCATCATGTGTGTTAATGGTCAGTTGTTGTTTGCTATTGTTAGTTCTCTGTCCAAAGGACTCCCTTTAGCATCTCTTGTAGGACCAACTGGAAGTTGGTCTGGTTTTAACAAATTCCTTTAATTTCTGCTCATCCAGAAATGTCCTAATTTCACCATCATATTTGAGGGACAGTTTTGCCAGGTATATAATCCTTGGTTGGAAATTTTTTCTTTCAAGGTTTTATGTATACCATCCCATTGCCTTTTTGCCTGCATGGTTTGTGCCAAGAAATCAGAGCTTAGTCTCATCGATTGCCCTTTATAGATAACTTTTCGTTTTTCCCATGCTGCTTTCAGGATTCTTTCTTTGTTTTTGTTTTGTTGAGTTTGATGATGATTATGTCTTGGTGATTTTCTTTTGGGGTCTATCCTGTTTGGGGTTTTTTGGACTTCTTGAATGGTTGTATTCTTATCTTTCATCATAGCAGGGAAATTCTCTTCCAACAAATCTTTGACAATTTTCTTTGTGGTTTTATTTGTTTCTTCCTGTTCTGGAATTCTGATTATGCATAAGTTATTACTTTAGATGATATCCCACATGAACCTTAGGCTTTCTTCATTTTGTTTTGATCTTTTTTCTGATTGATCCCTTTCCAAAGAAGTACTGAGGTATTTGCCTTCAATCTCACTAATTCAGTCTTCCATTGATTTAATTCTACTCTACTTTACCCTTTCAATGTGTTATCTGTTTCTGAGAATTTAGTATTGATCTTCTGGATTTCTATCTGTAGATTTTGTAGCATTTCTAATTTTTCATTTATTTTGTCATTTTGTTCTTATATTGTCTTCCAAAATTGTTCTTAGGTTTTCTCTGTGTTTTCCTCAATTCTGTCAGTGTTTTCCTCAGTGAGTATGTCTCTCAATCTGTTGAAGGTGCCTAAATATAATTCTTTTGAATTCCTTATCAGAGAGTTCCAGTGCTGCTTCTTCCTGAGGGACATGTTCTGGGCCTGTATCCTGGTCCCTTGTTTCTACTGCTTTATCTTGTTTCTTTGTGTAGACTGTAATGGTCTGTTGTATCTGAGACATTGTGGCATGTTTGTGTTTATATTTAATTGGTGATTGTATGTTGGAGTGATTTGCCCAAGGTTTTCATTTTCTTTGTTTTGTTTGGATGTATCTGAGTAAGCAGGGTACTGTAATCCTTCTATTTGCTAGTTGGCAGCACTTATGCACTCACTACCTGTCTCCTTTCCAGTAATCAGCCTCTCATATGTCTGTGCAATCTTTGGCAAGAGGAGCCTGTTCTTAGGTTCCTGGAATCTGAACAAGAATGCTGTCACTTTAAATATCCAAAATGGCCACCACTTGTAAACCTTCAAAATGGCTACACCCTCCAGACAGCCAAAAGTCCACAGCTCAGTTTGTCTCCTTCTTTGCTGTTTCCCTTTTCAGTTGTAAGCTACCCATGCAGTAGTCTATGCAGCTTTTGGTGAGCAGGGCCGATTTTTATGTTTATTCTCCAGTTCTAATACCACTTGGACATATTCATGCTGTCCATGCTGTCAGGGCAGCTGACAGTCTACAGCTCCATTTGTCTCCTTACTTAACTATTTTCATTCAGGTACTTCTACTAGTTGGTGTATAATCCACTTCTGTATCCTTTCTTTTACAGTTCAGGGCTCCAGGTTATTTTCTGTATCTATGTCAATTGGTTTCTCTTTTCTTTGTTGAAGAGGGTCTGTGTAGTTTGTCTGCCTTTTCTGGCATTGTTGGAGTGCCGCTCCAACAGAAATACCACAAATGGTATGGCTTTAACAAACAGAAATTTATTCTGTTACAATTCTGGAGGCTAGAAGTGTGCGTTCAGGGTGCCAGGTTCTAGGGCCTGGGTGAAAGCCCCTCCAACCTGGGGCTTCAGCTCTGCCTCCTGCTCCTTGCCCACTGAATCTGGAGGCTTTTCCTCACTCAGCTACTGGCTGCTGAGGCTGACAAACCCAAGGTCAACAAGTAAAAAGGCACAGTCCCAATGTTACCAAGCAACACAGCAGGCCACTAATTCAAGTCCAGAAGAAGTCCTAAGATCAGCAGGGCATGGCAGGCTACTGAACAACAACTTGGCTACATGCAGGTTCAACTGTGCTAAAAAGCTGGAGACCTTCCTTAAAGTTGCTTATATACTGGAAGTGGCCCACATCCCTAAGACAGTTACTCTGCTGCTCCAGTAGATTCCACCATAGAGTTAGTTAACTAGTCTCATCATTGGGAGTAACTACTATATCCAGCTGTTCAGCCACTACCCAGGCCCAGCGAAGTTGACATACAACCTTAACTACCACAGCTATCTTACCAGAAGTCTTGCAAGACCTATGTGTTTTAGAAATTGTTTTCTGCTAGAGGGTTATGCCAGTGGTTTGTAAATATATTTTATCAGTATCTACCCAATAGCATGGTCTCTGGATAGTGCAAACCAAAAGATTAGTGATTCAAGTCCATTCAGAGGCACATTGGAAGAAAGGTCTGGTGATTTACTTTTTAAAAATGAGCCATTGAAAACCCTATGGAGCACAGTTCTACTCCAATACACATCAGCTTGCTGTGAGTTGGAATTGATTCAATGGCAACTGGTACTGGTGCCCTATAACATAAGCAAACAAACTTCTTTGCACTTAAAATATAAATATTCACTATGTTGATTTGAGTGTTCTAGCTCTCTTGTAAGTTTCTTTTCCCGAAAATGATGGCAAAAGTACTTTGTTTATTTTAACTTGACTCATCTTTCGCAACCCAGCTTAATCATTGTACAGATTTCCTTTTGAAATACAGGCATACCTCTGAGATATTACCGGTTTGGTTCCGTACCATCACAATAAGCAAACATCACAATAAAGTGAGTCACACAAATTTTATTTCCCAGTGCATATAAAAGTTATATTTATGCTATACTGTAGTCTATTAAGTGTACAATAGCATTATGAAAAAGTTTGAAGTATTGTGAGAATTACCAAAATGTGACACAGAGACACAAAATGAACACATACCATTGGAAAGATGGCACCAATGGACTTGCTTGACACATTATCTGTGAAGCACAATAAAGCGAAGCACTATAGAATGAGGTGTCTCTATAAAAGGACATTAATAGTCAGACAACAGTGGCAGGCTTGTGCCATTTCAATAACCTATGCAAGAGACATCTTCAGTCAAATTTGCATATCAAAATTTCCTGTGTGCTCCTTTTTTGCCTAATGAATTCAATACTAAAGTATTGGTATAATATCAAAACCAAACCATAGTGACCCTATAGCACAGAGTAGAACTACCCTATAAGGTTTCCAAGGCTGTAAATTTTTACAGGAGCAGACTCCCTCATCTTTCTCCCACAGAGAGGCTGCTGGATTCAAACTGCTGACCTTTTGGTTGGCAGCTGAATATCTTAACCATTATGCCACCATAGCTCCTCATTGGTACAATAGAACCTTATTAATTCAAAGGGAAAAATACCACCATGGCCATAAAATATCTGAATTACAGAATATATTTGGAGAAATCTGTTTTATTACTTTAAAGTAAAGTGAAGTATTATAGACTAAGGTAGAAATATCTACTAATAAAAGGAAGAAAGTAATTAATAATTTTAAAGAAAAAAATTTTATTTCATTCTGAATTGATTAGTAGGCTTAGTTGTTAAGGACACTTGCTTTTCTTGATTCTTATATTAAAATTATGAAAATCTTTATTGAAAGGTATGAGTTTTTTTGAAAAAAAGGAAAGATACTCTGTCTGAATGAATAGAAATTTTGAATTAATGGTGTACGAATTAATAGGTATTAGTGGCTATCCAGTCCCTACTCTAAGTTTTTAGCTGGTTACTTATTTCCTAGAGAATGATGCCCAGAGTTCTCAGCCTGGTAACTTCATTGTCAGTCACAGTCTTTCCTCTACCTAATGTTCAGCTTCTCCGGACTGGGATAGACCAAGAAATTATTTTGTAGAACCTCTTTGTAAGCCCAGGTTATCATTAAGTCATTTCCAGTGTTGAGGGCCCTACCACTGAGGTTTTCCATAAAGAACCACCTTGTGAACACTATCTAAATCAGCCTCATTCTAGAATCATCTTATTTTAAATTTGAAACCAGGTGAGTCTCTGTTAGCATAGAGTAGATCCTCCAGAGTTATGCCCACAGATGATACAAGGCCAATGTCCTGGGTCAAGAGAGAAAAGGCCAAAGGCAATGCTACTTATTTGTGTCTAGCTTTGAGCCATTCATCATAATGCCAAGCTCCTATTTTAGAGTTCCTTTATTTACTATATTAATTGGTTTAAATCTCCTAGCTGTGAACTCCTGTGAAATACCTCCTAACTTTATAGCTTGGCATTAAAGGATATTTTAGTTCAGATTTTAGTTTTTCTACATAGAGGTCCCACTTTATGATATTAATAATTAACCAGAGAACTAACTTGTCCAAATTCTTTAAACTCAGTTTATTTAAAAGGAGAGTAACTTCAAGAAGGTTTTGTCCATGGTTTACTGCTACCTCCAGACATGGGCCTTTGGGGTTTAGTTTGTTTTTTAATCTTTTTGGGAAAAAGTTGGGGACAGGAACAAACGTAAGTAGAACAATTCATCTTCATTTTTTCAATGTATCTTAGTTGTGATGAATGAAAAAGTAAATGTAACAGACTGTGGTAACCTGAAAATAGCTTTCTACTTCTGAAGCACCAAATAGTCTGCTCTGTGAATGAGAAAGTTATGGATGCATTTTGATTTGATAAGTGGCAAACAACATGGCAGTTTTATGGGATTGTTATTTATAAACATTTAAATAAATAGTTATTCAAATTCTTCTTAAAAAACACAAAATAAAACATAGGATGATAAGCTTTCTTGGCATTTATGGCTTATTTTTATTTGGTGCTTTGTTTTCTTTGTATTATTATTATTTTTTAATGGACTATACCTAAGTTAAACAGGTATTAAAACAAATCCAAACTCACTGCCATGGTGTTAATTCCAACTCATAGCAACTTCCACTGGGTTTCCAAGACTGTGTATCTTTATGGAAACAGATTGCCTCATCTTTGTTCCATGGAGCAGCTGGTGGGTTTGAAACACCAACCTTTTGGTTAGTAGCCAAATGCCTTCTTAACTACTAAACCATCAGAGCTCCTTAAGCAAGTATCATTTAGGGTTAATTCTGAAACTGTGATTTGAAAAACAATTACGATTATTTTAGAATCTATGAGCTGATCCTTCAAAGTTTGTAATGTTATTATTGAAATATTATACATTTTAACCATGTCTTAAAAATAGTGGTATCATAGCTAGAAATAATATTTTAGTACTAAAAAGGAGATGGAGATTATTACTCATTTTACATATGAAAAAGTGAAAATCCAGATATGGCAAACATCTTGCCAAAAGTCACACAGGTAGAAGAGACAGAACCAGGAGTGGCATTAAGATCTCCTATTTCCTACTTAACTTTTTTTTAATTTTGTCACAAATTTATACATATCAATATATATCAAATATAAATGTCTACTGAGGATGTCATAAATTTATAGCACACTCCCATCCCCAATCTTTTTTTTTATTACATGGTCATAATTACTGCATTACCTTAGGTAGTTTTTATTTATTCGTGTTTGAAAGACAGCAACTGAATCTCAGAGAGATTGCAATCAAGTGACTTCAAATTAGTAGTAGAATATGACTAGAATCTGGGTCTCATGATTCTTGCCCACTTGTTCTGACTTCATTCTACTGCACTGTACTGGCCCTTAACAAATACCTCTTCACTCTCTCTGAAAAAGTGCATACTGTTTATAAATGGTAATCACTCAGTCAATATATTCAGTATTTATAGGGCACCTACCATGTGACAGACACTGGGGATACAGCATTTGATAAAGCATAATTCCTGAAGTTTGTATGCCAGTGGGAAAAGCAAAGAATGAGTGAATGAATGAATGAGGTCAAGAGTTAGTGCTATGAATGAAAAAATAAGGGACAGCAAGAGGGTCAAGAAATGGTGGGGTTCTGTTGAATGATGTGGACAGGGAAAGCTTCTGCAAGGAGGTGATACACAAATAGAACTGGAAGCAAGTGAGAGGGCAAGCCATGTAAACATCAGGGGAAAGAACATTGCAGCCTCTGCAAGCTCAGTACCTACCCCATCTGTAGTTCTGGAAGAAATTAAGTAAAGTATGCAATTCTTCATATGGATAGATTATGGTACTGATAAGTGAGGAAGGAGCAAACTCTGAATGAAGGGTGGTTACAGAGCTATCTTTCAGAAGCTCCCAAACATTGGATATTTGTTTCCCCACCACCACCATGTAAATAATTCAGTTAAAACAATACTAAAGTGAAAAACACAAAACTCCTAAGAAAATGAAGTTAAAATAGCTTTGTTCTAGATTTTTCTGATTGCAAAATTTTTGATAAATTCTATGTAGTATAGGGGTCGCTATGAGTAGAGTCCGACTAGACGGCATGTAACAACAACAACATGTAGTATAGTAGTTGAAAGTGTTAATTCTGAATGCAGCTGCTGGGGTTCAGTTCCTAGTTCTATAACTTATTAGCTATGTGGCCTCGAGCAAGTTCATTAGCAGTTTGCTCATTTGTAAAATGGGAATAATAATAAGGCTTTCCTCACAGAGTGGTTGTAGCAACAAAATGAGTATGTATGTTATATATGTATAAGCCCTGGTCACACAATGGTTAAGTGCCCAGCTGCTAACTGAAGTATTGGCAGTTTGACCCTACCCAGAGGGTGCTGCAGGAGAAAAGACCTGGCAATCTGCTCCCATAAACATTTACAGCCAAGGAAACCCCATTGGGAAGTTCCAATCTGTCTTATGGAGTCACTATGAGTCGTAATTGACCCAGTGGCTCACAACAACATATTCGTATACAGACACAGTCTTAGAATGGTGCCTAGCACATAGTAAGGTTTCAGCAAGTGTATCTTACTGTCATAAAAGCTGAACTTTTCTTTTTCTCCTGTTCCCTGCTAAGTCATGATTGGAAGTCTTTTTTCTCTTTAGCAATTTGCCTATAAAAAACAAAAACCAAGCCCACTGCCATCAAGTTGATTCCAATTCATGGAGACCCTATAGAACAGAGTAGAATTGTCCCATAGTGTTTCCAAGGCTGTAAATCTTTACAGAAGTAGACTGCCTCATCTTTCTCCCGCACAGACTCTGGTGAGTTTGAACCACCAATCTTGGTTAGCAGCAGAATGCCTTAAACACTGCATTACCAGAGCTCCTTAATTCGCCTATGAGTGGTTCCAAATTAAGTGTAATATAGGAGAACTGCCAGATGCTTTAAAAGATTTAATTGCTTTTGGATTAATTTCATTGTTACTAAAGATTTACTACTTTTAAAAGAATTTTTAAATGCCCTATGTTGACAGGAGCCTGCAATAATTCTTCCAGATGGGGTATATATGTGTGAGTGTACCCCAGGCCTTTTGGCCACTTGAATTACTCAGTCACTAAGCTCTCTTGAGTTGAGACACACTTCTTTTCTTATGTAATCTCACTGCTTAAATTGTTATATAATTAACAATCTAGTTTATTTTTATAAGTTTTCATTTAATAAAACAAATGGAGCCCTTCTGTCGAAAATTCAAACATTTAAAAATTTGTATTTCAGAAACTTAAATAGTTCCACCTTTCTCCTTATATAAATCACATGAAAAATAAAAGTCAGGGAAAAGTCCATGGTTGGGAACAAAACTTGTAAACTTGACCTCAGTTACAGCCATAACAATTGAGAGAGAGCTGAATATAATTCCAGCCTTACAAGCATGTGACCTCAGCCAAACTAATCTCTCATCATCTGTAAAACAGGAATAATAAAACAAACACATCATTGGCTTGTTGTAAAGATGGAAAGAGTTCTGTGTAAAGTATTAACACAATCTCTGGTTTATAACAACTACTCAGTTACTGTTGGGAGCTCTGGTAGTATAGTGGCTAAGGCACTTGACTGCTAACTAGAAGGCTGGCAGTTCAAACCCACCAGCCACTCCTCAGAAGGAAGACGGGGCGATCTACTTCCGTATTGACACTGTCTTGGAAACCCAAAAAGGGTCACTATGAGTCAGGTCCGACTCAATGGCACATAACAACAACAGTTACTGTTGGTTATTATTGTTGTGTATGATTATTATTCAGTCTTCAAAGAGCTCCATCACTACTTCCACTTCCAAATGCACCTTTTAGCTCCCTTGTTTTCTATCCTTTTCTTATTCACTCACCAGGATAACACACACTTCTAAGATTACTTCGTTTCAACTAATTGAGGAAAATTAATCTTCACATTTATTGAATACAAGGCATGCTAAGCACTTTCATTTTCTCATTTAATTCTTAAAACACTCTGATAAAGAAAGTGAAAATTTCACAGGTAAGTTATTTTATCCTGGGAGAGAGTTAGAGACGTTACCATGGTCACTCAACCAGCAAATGTTGCTTTCTTTTTTCCCTCATTGGGAAAAATATTGACTCTATTTACAGGTTCAGTCAGCATCATTACAAGTCTTCCTTTTAGGCAGTAGCTCTGGGAAGATGCTATGACCATTTCAAATGTAGACTAAACCTCCAGCCCTATTACTCAGGTCTCAATCCCAAACTTATTTTTTCTTGGAAACTATGCTAGATCATAGATCCCAAATAAGTACTGAAAGAAAAATACAATTTTTAAGTTGAAATAATGTGTCTATTTTAAATTGAATCTCTCAAGTGAGAGGAAAAGAATCAGAAGTATAAGACAATGTTGTAAAAAGATAGTGATCCTTCCCTTTTCCTTTTTCAACAGGTATGTCATTTCAGCACCAAAAGTATTTCATGTTGGAGCATCTGAAAATGTTGTAATTCAAGTTTATGGATACACAGAAGCATTTGATGCAACAATCTCTATTAAAAGTTACCCAGATAAGAAATTTCAATATGCTTCGGGCTATGTTTATTTATCTCCAGAAAACAAATTTCAAAACTCTGCAGTTTTAACAGTATGTATTG